CCCACCCGGGCCGACACGTCACTGCCTCTGCAGCAGTGAGGCACACGTCCACCAGGCTGACACGTCCACCCAGGCCAACACATCACTGCCTCTGCAACAGAATCCCCCTTGCTGGGCGGGGTGGCCAAGGTGGGCAGGCACATCACCTGAGACCAGGAGTTCAAGACCAGACTGGGCAACATGGTGAAACCGTGTCTCTACTAAAAGTACAAAAATTAGGTGGGTGTGATGATGGGTGCCTTTAGTCCCAGCTACTCAGGAGGCTGAGTGAGACAGGCGAATCATCTGAGCCCCAGAGGCGGAGTTGTAGCGAGCTGAGACTGTGCCACTGCACTCCAGCCTGGGTAACAGAGTGAAACCTTGTCACAAAAAAAAAAAAAAAAAAAAAAAAGGAATCCCTCCCTCCCTCCCCATGTTGTTTTACTCTTCAGTGAGTTCCAGATCAGCAGCTTCCATGTTCAGAAGACATGAGTACTGCAAACACTGATGGGCTGACATATCAGGTCTGACTGAAAGGTGAAGGGTGCTGCCTTCAACACGACCCCTCTGGGCTCCTCGGGGAGGACCCGGATGGATTTCCAACAGTGACAATTCACCCACTGGCCAGACAGCTCTAAACCAACCACTGTGCCCAGGGGAAAAGGAAGAGGGGCCTCTTCCAGCAGGCAGGAGGATGTGCAGTCTGAAACTCCCGTGACAGGCAGCACTGGGCCCAGACTGTCTGCACAGACGTCGTAGCTCTCACAGCTGACACCCCCCGGCCTCAGGGTCTCAGGGCATACTGGCCCCACCGCAGCACCCAGCCTCACTCACTGTTGGCGCCACTCTTCCCAATAAGGTGCCTGTGGAACTTGTGGTCGATGTTGATCTCTACGTAGTCCATCCGGTTAATCTGCGAGAGGTGCACAGAGGCCCACAGATGCGCCTGGTCACTTGACCAAGAAGCTGAACCCCAAACCCAGCAGTCGCCACACTTGCGGTCTTCTGACCACGCAGCTGTCAGAATTGTTGGAGACTGCCCCCACGTCTCCCCTGAAAGATGCCTTCTTCAAAACAGAGTTTCCTCTACCCAGGATTATTCTGGGACTTCAGCAAGCTTCTAGTTTCAGAATCTATTACTTACCCAGCTAGGATGCCCTGTGGTGTCTGTGCCCAGCCACATGGCATGCCACTGAGAGATGACTGCCCATGCCCAACTCAGAGCCTCCCTTGTCCCCAGCACACACAACATTCCAAGGGGCACCTTACCAAATCTTTGACCATGCTTTCTATCTGTTCCTGGGCCACACTGACATCTTCGGTGGGGCCCTCCAGGGTGATCTTGTCTTCGCCCTCTGTGAACTCGATGTGAACCTACCATACCAAAACCAAACAGACAGCTAAAACATGATGGTATAGCTGCAGCTCCTCAGCTCCCAGTGAGCAGTCTCTGGTCCTCAAAGAGCACACAGGTGCCCTCCTGGGAGTGGCAGCTGATCCCAAAACGCTTCGTATAGATGTGAGGGAGGAAGGGACATATCCACAGGCACCAAACAAAGCTGAAAGGGAGGGTTGGAAGCTATTCTCAGGAAACTAAATACTGTGGCCTAATAATCTTGCCTTTCACTGACAACACTGTTTGTCCCCACAAAGGCCACTGGCATGAAGCATGTGATCTGATCATGCACCATCTTAACTTTTAAAAGGCCTAGTCCTCTTTAGTTGCATACAGAATGAGACAGAGCACGGACGGAATTTAAAACTAGCATAAGCTGCACAGAGGTGGTAAAGTAACTCGCTCAACACAGACAAGGCTGCTGGCTTTCCTGACTTTTTACCCTCCAGGTAAACAAGATCAGATCGAGACTATCCTGGCCAACATGGTGAAACCCTGTCTCTACTAAAATACAAAAAATTAGCCAGGCATGGTGGCAGGCACCTGTAGTCCCAGCTACTTGGGAGGTTGAGGCAGGAGAATCACCTGAACCTGGGAGGTGGATGCTGCAGTGAACCAAGATCATGCCACTGCACTCCAGCCTGGCGACAGACCAAGACTCTGTCTCAAAAAAAAAAAAAAAAAAAAAAAAAAGTAAAAGGGGCTGGGCACAGTGACTCACCTGTAATCTTAACATTCTGGGAGGCCAAGGCAGGAGGACTACTTGAGCCCAAGAGTTCGAGCTGGGCAACATAGCAAGTCCCTGCCTCCACAAAAAATTTGAAAACTAGCCTGGGGCAGTGGTGCACGCCTGAAGTGCCAGCTACTCAGGAAGCTGAGACGGGAGGATCGCTTGAGCCATGAGTTCAAGGCTGCAGTGAACTATGATTGTGCCACTGCACCCTAGCTGGGTGACAGAGTGAGACTTTGTAACTAGAAAGAATAAAATAAATTTTATTTTTAAAAAGGACACAGTAACATTAACTGGAAACTAGATCTAAACAGAACAGGGGTTAAATATGATGGCTGTTTTCCCTGGTATTTCTTTTCTGTTCATGTTTCCTGGGTGCTACAATTTCCTTTGGTAAACTGAGAAAGCTTTAAATTCACACTTAATACAATTTATATACAAGTTCTGCTCTTGAAACTATTATGAAGTTATTTCACCATAATTACTAATTGACATGTTTCATTAAAAATACTTATGAAACCTAACAATACACGATCCTCTCTGGTTAAAGGCCAGAAGGATGGTACAGACATCGACATGCATTATGCTGCCCTTCCTCAGCCAACCATGAAGCTGACCATGTCAAACAGGATGGTTAATTTAGAAAAATACACCAGTTTTCAAGGGTATTCACAGGATAAAGGTCAACAAAGCAATGTCAGAAACAGAGAGACAGAAAACAAGACAAATTCAATCCACCCGGCGAAAAACGTGCCCTTACCTTTGGCATCTGCTGAGTGATTTTGGCCAGGTTCTGTCCTTTCTTGCCAATGATGAAACGGTGAAGCCAGGAAGGGGCGGCGACAGAGGAGACGGTGAAGCTATTGGCCTAAGAACATGGGAGAACAGCCATGGGTTTGCAGAGCTCAAGGTCATGTCACACGGAAGCCAGGCTGCTCGCCCGGGGCTGAGAGGCGAACACTCCCCAAACCCAGGAACCTGCACCGTGTCCAGGCCCCAGGATCACAAGTAAGAGCTCATGCACGAAGGCCCCGTGGACTCCACTCAAAGGGGACGCACTTAAAGCTCAGAGGCAGTTACCTTGGCATAGACTTCAGTCAACGCCTGACCTAACTTTTCAGGCTCGCCTCGAAGTATTACAGTCTCTGAGATGCTGTCTGAGGGTGGGATCTCAACTGAAACGCCGGTTCTCTCAAGGATCTCCTGCAAAGAATTGCCCTTGGGCCCGATGACATACTTGTGCTGGGATTTCTTCACTTCCACTGCAATGGTGGTAGTCTTCTTTTTCTAAATAAGAGCACCATGAGGGGCAGTCAAAGGGAAGGGTGTGGGAAGCGGGCGGGCAGGCACCGCCAGTGCTGCACAGACTACAGAAGCTGGTCCCAAGAAGTGAACAACAAGTGATCAGGACCAGCCGATCCCCAGAAGCCTCACTGCTCAAGGACTGGATTTTCCTCTCAGTCTAGGCTCCCGCCTGCTGATAACTTCGTCCTTAAATGCTGGAAAACACCCAATCCTTTTCCTCAACTAAGGAACATGTTTCAGACTTCAGAGTTCACTAAACTGAGCTAATAGCTTAATCCAAGACATGAACAAGTCTGAGCTGTACATCTGATCCTGGGGTAGCGGCCTGTCAGCACAGCCAGAGGCCCAGGACAGGAACATAGACAGGACAGCGAGGACAACTGCCCTGCAGATGCTCAACAGCAAGGCAGGGGCGGGCACCAACCTCACACCGGTCACTCAAGCGTAGAGACAAGAAGCATCTTCACCAAGGATGAAAAGGTAAGGGGCAGAACCAGGCCTTAACTGAATCTCCAGACCCAAATCCTAGTTTCTCTTCCTGCCCACGGGGATTTGTCTCCTCTATACCACGTACCTTCTCCTCATAAATCTTCTTGATGCGAGCCACAGCCTGAGCCAACTGCTCCTTCTCTCCAGTAAAGACGATCTCCGTCCGGTTCACGCTGGGTGGGGGAATGTTGATGCGCGTGCCTGTCTCCTGCATGATCTCGCCGACCAGCCTATTATATGGCCCGGCGATGAAGGGGTGGAATGCCTTTTCTACTTCTAGCCTCTCCACGGCACGTTTGTCCTGGAAAGGATGGGAAGAACTGATGAGAACAGGCCTCTGAAAACCAACTGGGGACAGACGGGACTTAGGGTTGGAGTCAAGCCTTCCAATCCCGCCATACTATGCCTTTAAGTCCACGCTGGACACAGCAACCCATGAGGGAGTGAGGTCTGTGCCAGCAGACGGGCAGGGGCACGAGGCACTCACACAGGCCTCACCTGCTCGGCAGAGATGAGTAAGACTTCATGGCGAGCTTTCTCAATGCCCTCTTTGGTGCCAGTGATCTTGATCTGATTGCTGGGGTCATCCGGGCGTGGGATCTGGATTTTGGTTGCAGTTTTTAGCTCCAAGTCTTGCAGTTTCTCTCCATTTTTGCCAATAACAAAGCGATGGTGTTCTTTGGGAATAGCAACAGTTGCTGAGGCCTAGAGCAAGAAGAGAATCAAAGAAAACAAGAATATTTGTAGGTTCTGAAGGAGCACATTTTCCCAAGGCATTCTCCCTGGCAGAAACACCATCTTTGCTTATTCTTGCCCCCCAGCCCCAATCCATCCATCAGAACAGTGTGAGCTTAAACATCACGTGCTTGGGGAAACTTACCGTGACGCCCAGGCTAGGGTAAGTTCAAGAGTATCTGTACCACTACTTAACATCCATTGGAATATATACACACAAAAGGAGACAAGAGAAAACAGTCACAAAGGCTGGGCAGGAAGAAGCATGTGACTGCATATGTAGAAACCCTGAGAACACTACTGGGCTAACTTCTATTTACAGCAAGGAGAACAGATTGAAATCCAGAAATTAACAGCTTTAACTTCCACAAACAGCAACTGCTTAGAAGACGCAATGAAAAAGATGCATTTCTCATAGAAAAAAAGGAAAAAACAAGGACAGGAAAAGAGCTAGACATAAGCCCAGCACAAGGTGGAGTATGTACACCCGAAATTAGAAAATGCTCCTTAAAAGAGCTAAAAGAAGGTTTAAGTGATAAAGATGGTAATTATCCCAATTAACTTTAAAATATTAATACCATTTCAAACAGTTGATTATAAAGGCTGTAATACAGAACAAACAAACAAACAAAATAGAATAAACAACAAAACCCTGAAAAAGAACAGTGCGGGGTGGGGGTGTTAACAGTGGTGCGAGACATTAAACATGACACCCTCATCAGTACACAGGAAACATCGGCATATGGAAAGACAGACCGTCTTGCTGGTCAGAACTGAAAACCCAGAAACAGACCTAAGTTAATACGAACATCTAGGACATGATAAAAGCAGCCACTCAAGCAAGGCACTGGAGGAAACAGTCTTTTCAAGGTGGTGCTGGCATGCCTATAATCCCAGCACTCCGGGAGGTGGGAGTGAGAGGATTGTTTGAGCCCAGGAGTCCCAGATCAGCCTGGAAAACATAGTGGACCTCACTTCCACAAAAGCTTTAAAAATTAGCCGGGCGTGGTTGCGCATGCCTGTGGTCCCACCTACTGGGGTGGCTGAGGCAGGAGGGCTACCTGGGCCTAGGAGACTGAGGCTGCAGTGAGCTGTGATCATGCCACAGCACTTCAGCTTATGTGGCAGACTGAGACCCTGTGTTAAAACAAAAAACTGGTGCTCACAACTCAATAGTCATATGGAAAAAGGCGAAATGCGATCAGTGCCTTAACCCTATTTGCAATAAATTCCAAACAGATCAGTAACTGAAATGTAAGAACATATTTACAAGCAGTAGAAGAAAATATAAACTTTCTTATGACATGATGGTGAAAAAAACTTTCCTAACAATGACTCAAGACAATAAAAAAAATGCAAGTGGCCCTTATATATTGAAGCGCTGCTCAGTCTTGCCCATCAGAAAAATGCAAATGAAAAGTATATTCAGTTGCCTCTCACAATGGCCAAAACCCAGGTATGTGATGAGCCTGGCTCCTGTGTACTGCTGATGATAGTGCAAAACACTAATTCCTAAGGGTGGACATTTAGCATCAGATTGCCCAATTCCATATGCTGTTTCCCTCTTGACCCAGCCAGCTCACTTCTAGGAATCTATCCCAAGATACACTGGGTAAAACAGGAAACAGCATATGCACAGATTTTTATTGTAACATAATTTTGTAACAGCTGAAGTCTGGAAACTACCCAAATGCCCATCAGTAGGAGAGCCTGGGTAAATTACAGCACGCCTACAGAGTATTACAGTGCTGTATAAAGAAATGAAAAAAATCACTACTTGTTGATATACAGACACCTAAATATAGAAGAAAAAAAGCAAGGCATAGGAAAGGGTGTACAGCAAGCTGTATTTTGCTTCTACTGTCAAATACAAACAACAAAGGATAAACCGGGACCAGGAATGGCCCCCTGTATAGGTGGGGAGGGAGCAGGGTGAAGGTACCAGGCTGGGGAGATTTCTCTGAAAGAACTTTATTATATAACGTTGACTTTGCAAACATGTAAATGTTGAAATACTTTGAAAACACTGAAAATAAACTGAAACAAATGTACCTAACTATATCAAGATGACAGGAAAACTCAGAAAAAAGAAATTACTTCAAGTGATTCTGAACTGATGATTTTCCTTTTTTGAGACAGGCTCTCACTCTGTCACCCAGGCTGGGTTGTGGTGGTGCAGACACCACTCACAGAAGCCTCCACCTCCCACACTGAAACAATCCTCTCTCCTCTGACTTCCAAGTAGCTGGGATTACAGGTGAGCGCCACCACGCCCAGCTATTTTTTGTAAAGATGGGGTTTTTCCATGTTGCCCAGGCTAGCCTCAAATTCCTGGGCTCATGCAAGCTGCTGGCCTCGGCGTCCCAAAGTGAGAGCCACTGCCTGATTTTCCTTTCTTGAAAGCACAACTTTCCTAGCTCTGTCTTCTGAAAGTCTAGAAGCTTTGATGACCCAGTCGTAATGTGCACTCATGGAGACTGGAGTGTCTGACTGTAATTTCCTACTCAAAAGGTCCAGAGTTCACAGAAAAATGCTGATTCAAGGTCTGTGTAAGGAAATATGTAAGACTAGCCTGAGGCATCTTTCTGTGTTAGAAATTAAGAAGTTATTGATGTTAATGGGTCATGGCTCTAACCTGCAGGGAACAAAACTGAAAGGAGGGGTCCCACATGCCAAAGATGAGGCAACTGCCACGTAAAGAATGACAGACATGCCAAAAATGTCTGAGTTCATAATGACACGAAGAAGAGTCACTGATCAACACCAAAGCCACCAGACTGTGAAAGAATCGATCATTTATCTGGTACTTCCCACTCAACTGCTGAAGAAGAAAAATTCTTCCTTACAAGAATTATCAACTAATATATGAACAGGGAGAGAATCAGAAAAGCGTAATTGGCAGCCCTTAGCGAATTTGGGCAGTAATCACCAACTTATGGTAAAACGATTACACAAAGGACTGATAAGAAACTTTGTAAGGGAAGACACCAGACCTGAGCCTACTGGCCAATCTCAAAATCAGAACAAGAACAACCAGCTATCACAGCAAGGGCTCAGCACCACCGACAGAATCTTTTTTTTTTTTTTTTGTGGGGCGGCGGGGGGAATGGAGTCTTGCTCTGTCGCCAGGCTGGAGTGCAGTGGCACAATCTCAGCTTACTGCAACCTCCGCCTCCTGGGTTCAAGTAATTCCCTTGCCTCAGCCTCCTCAGTAGCTGCGATTATAGGAGGGCGCCACCACACCCAGCTAATTTTTTTTTGTATTTTAGTAGAGATGGGGTTTCACCACGCTGGTCAGGATGGTCTTCTGATCTGCCCGCCTGGCCTCCCAAAGTGCTGGGATTACAGATGTGAGCCACCACTCCCAGCAGAGCCTGCTTGCCAAACAAGCTGCCTGTGGAAGTAACCAAGCCCCTGAAGATCTGACACCAGTTCACCAAAAATAATCAGTGAATAGCAGAACAAATCAAACACCCATTGTCCCCAATAATCAATGGCATTAAAAAAAAGGGAGGACAGGCTGGGCATGGTGGCTCATGTCTGCAATTCCAGTATTTTGGGAGGCTTAAGTGGGTGGATCATTTGAGCCTAAGGGTTCAAGACCAGCCTGGGCAACATGGTAAAAATGCATATCTACCCCCCCCCCAAAAAAAAAAAAATAAATAAATAAAATAATGGCCGGGCCTGGTGGCATATGTCTGCAGTCTCGGCTGCTTGAAGGGCTGAGTCAGAAGGATCGCTTGAGCCCAGGAGGTCAAGGCTGTTGTGAGCAGTGTTTGTACCACTGCACTCCAGCCTAGGTGACAACATGAGATTCTGTCTCAAAAAAGAAAAAGAGTGGGTAGAAGGGAGTAAGTACTGTTACAGAACAAGAGACTTAGGATTCTACAATCAGTGCAACACGGGGACCTGTTTGGACACTGACTTGAATGGACCAACCGGAAGAAACATCTTTGAGATGACGAGGAAAGGCCAAACTCAGCCTGGGTTAAACACAGACATGATACTAAGACGCCACTGTCAATGTGATTACATAAGTTAAGAAGACAATTATTATACGTATGCATATATAAAAACAGGGGCTCCTCTGAAGGCACAATAATGTGTCTGGAATTTGTTTTAAGGTAATTAAGGGGCAGGAGAGTACGTCAGGGCAAATCTCTTCACTCTGATCCGTATATTCAGTGAAGTGGTCCTTTCCCCTGCAGTGTTCATTACAAAACAGGAGTAATGAACCTGCAGACACCAGAACAACTTTTGGAGCCTACTATGCACAGCCACAATGCTAGACAATGACAAGCAACACTGTCACCTTCATTAACGCTTAATGGTTCAACTCCATGAAGCCAGCTGGGGTTTGGGACCATCCTGATACCCTCATGTGGATGAGTAAGTGGCAAAGCTGGACTTCATCAGGCGGCACTCCTCTGCCTCCTGGCTACGCCTTGCGCTCCTACCCCTCGGCCCCTCTTCCATCAGATCCCCACCGTCCAACCACCGTGCCCCAGATCCAGCTCCCACAAGATCAAGAAGACTCAGCAGCAGACGGGAAGAACCCCGATTCCTAAATAAGCCCATCTAGTACAACAGCGGTCACGCAACATCTTAATATGATTCTTTACATGTTTTTTTGGTCTTTAGGTGCTGCCACTTAGGGAGAAATGCATCAGAGATTTGCTTATCTATTACAAATTTCTTCAAGTCCAAGTTCTGGCATCAGACTGCCAAAGACTAGGAAGCTGGCTTAAAACAGAATTTGAACTTGTAATCTCCTGAATTTGGGGCCTGGTAATGAGCATTTAATGACCACACTAGCAAAGCAATGGAACTACCCATCTTCACCATTCAGCAAGCCTAGTTTAAGTGTCTCAAACTCTGGGACAAGCTTCTAATTTTCAGTGCAGTTGGACGTGGTTGTATGCCTGTAACCCAGCTAACCAGGAGCCTGGGTAGACTGCCTGAGCCCAGGGGTTCTAGGCCACAGTGTACCATCATCACACTGGTGAATAGCCACTGCACAACAGCCTGGACAACAGAGTGAGACTCTGTCTCCTAAAAGAAAAAATTGTTATTACTTTCAAGTTCATTCACTCAAAGAGCAAAAATGGTAAGTGTCCCAGTTTTATTATCAGTTTAGTGGGTTTTTTCACTAAAAATGCCAGGGGACTCTCAACGTTGTTGTCCTACCTCCAAAAGACTGAACTGCCCCATGGGAGGAAGAGTCCAGGAAAGTTCTAGCCTACACCAGGAGCCAGTGGTATGGGCCACCTGGGAGAAGTAGGCCTCAGGCTACCCACCTGAGTCTGCAGTCTAGCAACAATGTCCTTCCGAGCTTTCATGACAGCATCCAGCTTTCCCGACACCATGATGGAGAGGCCTTGGTCTTTGGCCAAAGACAGCTCCAAGTGGGCACCGGTTCTCTGCATGATCTCAAGGCAGATTTTTGCTTGTTCACCTTCTCCAAATTGGTTCATATCCTTATATTTTCTCTCCTCCAGGGGTACATGGAACACCTGCTCAAAAAAGACCAAAAACGGGAAGGTAAAGAGACTAAAGGAAGGCCCGTAGACACAGAGTAAAGAACGTATGTCCATTACCGTCCACTCACAAAGTAGCCCTGCCCTGCCCACAGGCACTGCTCGAAGCCCTGGGATAAAGCCGCTGAAAGACAAGGAGAAAGTGCCAAGGTCAGGAGGCTGACATCCTAAGGAGAAGAGAACTACATCGGCCGCACGAATGAATGAGGGGGCCAGTGAGTGCTGTGATGAAATCAGTAGGGAGAAGAGGGTTTAGGAGAAAGTGGGAGGTAGACCCTGGGGAGGGCCAGAAAACCTTCCTGAAGCACGAGGCAGCGATCCATGCCAGGAGGTGAGGGAACTAAGGGTGTGCAGGCAGGACAGCCGAGGAGGTTAACGGGGGTGGAGCCTGGTGAGCACACCAGAGGGAAAGTTAAGAGGATCACCCGGCCCACCCTGTAGCAAAAATCAGTACAGGGTTTTCAGCAGGATGCACTCTGCTTGATGGCTCAGGGTCCCTCCAGCTGCTTTATGGAGAAGGACTGAGGAGGAACAAAGTGGAAGCAGGAGGGATCAACTACTCTGGTTTGAGACCAGAGTCACCAAGTACACAGCGGTACAACGAACGAAATCATTAACAAGACAACAGACAGGTGGAAATGGAAGGATTGGGGTGCAACTGTTTAGGAGCCTAAAATTCAGGGAAGACACTGGCAGAAAGATGGTGATTTTCCACCATGACCGGATGATAGGAGTTTTTATAAAAGTTTTGCAACTCACCAACATTTCAAATTCAGGTAGCAGAGAGAAGGGCTAGGGAAGCCAAAGAAAACCAGGAGACTGGTTAACCGCTTCCAGAAAGCGGAATGAGCACAGAACAGAAAACAGGAGCCGTCAGTCTGACAGACGCTGCCCGCAACCCGGCCGTGAGCCAGCCCTTCTGAGTGCCAGCACACAGGGTGGACGGGACAGAGGTGGTCGACAAAAACATCTCTGGGGTGGGGAGTGATTTAATGAAGGCCTTCTCCCTTTAGCTACTCAAAGCATTCTCGTTTTTTGCATGTTCAAAAATGTTTCCATCAGGTCCTACGCTTGGAGGCATAGGTTAAGAAAGGACAGCAATGAATTTTTAAAAATTTAAAAAATTTACATGGACATGCTGCATGATAAAATTTGTAAAAGAAAGAAAGAAAGAAAGAACGGCGTTTCTACCTGAGTGATGACAGAAGCCTTGATGGGCCGGATCTTGTTACCCCAGGCTCCAGCGGGTTCCTGGGCACTTTCCAGGCAAGCAGCTTTCTCAGGAAGTGGAGGGAAGGCATCCTTGTAGGTTGGTGGGTCACTCTCCTCTTCTGAATTCAGAGTGGCAACTGGACCAGCCAACACAGATGAAGAGACAGCACTACTTTTAGCATGACATGAAAAACACTTTAAAGAGTTTTAATGCTTAAAAACAGACAAACAAAAAACACACTAAATGCTCCAGGGACAAGTTCCCCCACCCCTCTCTCCTCATTCAGAGTGATGGGGAAAGGTCCCAGGAGGTCACCAGGCCTAGCAACCTGAGTGTGTGTGCTACAGGAGGCCAGAAACTCCCAGTCTCTGACAGCACCCTGAGTGTGCGCTCGAGGAGCAGCTGACCGACGCCCATCCACATGGCCTCCCCAGTGAGCATCAGCTCAGACACTGTGAGCCCCACTCCCCCAACAGGGTGAACCCGATGTAAGGCTGCGGTGGCCCCCAGGGTCGTGGGGTGTCCCTTATGCTGTGTTGAGGTGCAGGATCCAAGAGGTAAAGAGACAGGACACTAAAGAACTGGTGAAGAGCATCTGGACTCGGGGTGGGGTGGGCACACCACGTGTGAGCAGAGATCAGCGGTGGCCCTCCAATGCCCAAGAGCATCTGTATTTATTAGGTACAAGCAGGGGGCAGGATCATGAGTGAGGTCATCATCTACAGACTTAGTCATAGGGCATATATAATCACATGAGTTACAAGTGAGGGGACCACGCCATTATGTCACCTGGGCAGAGAGGTGGGCCGTGCGCAGAGGCGAGGGTCACGTACAGAAAAGGGGTCTACCCCATTAGGTCACCGAGGCAAGGAGGTGGGCTGTGTGCAGCAGGTGTTGTGTGCGACACTTCTTATCTGGGGGCTGGAGACTTCAAAGGGTTTCTAATAGAAGGATATTGTAAGCCAATGCAGTGGGAGCTGACAGACGTGTGCTCTTCTCTGAAGATATTTATGGGAGGATGATTTGAGCTAGCACAGAAGCGAGATAAGATTGACAGGGTGTACAGCCACCGTGACTGGTCACACCAGAGGGGTTCTTCTCCCTCGGTTACTTCCAGGATCTCAGGCCTGAGGCCGACTTTCCACAGGACCTGGATGCAAGGTACTACAACTCCTTTATCAGGAGGAGGGGCTCTTGCTCCAAGCCTGCCATACAGCGTATGCCCTTTCAGGCAGGGATGCCACTGCCTGGGTCTTTGGTTCCTGTCCTGGTCTGGCTGTTTTCCCATGTGCTGCTTCTGTTCTGTAACTGCTCTAGGCATTCCTCTTACTACAAACTACTATATGGTTATATAGGAGGATTCTATGGATAAGCACGAAATGTGTCAGTGCAGCTCCGACTACAATACCTACGTGATTATATAGAACTAAGTATGCTAGGTATATGCAAGCAGTAAGTTACTCTTCAAGCACTAATTCTATAAACTAATATATGATTATAGATGAAGGATGATATAAAGGAAGCAGCTGAGTAATAACACTATAAACTAAGATCTTCTTCAGGCACTAGTTGTGCCTGGGGTCTGGACAGTTCTCCTTCCTCAGTGAACATGGGGGGCGTTACCCACAGCCCTGAAAGCAAGCCTTGCTACGTCAATTTTTAAGTCCTCTAGAGTCTAATAACATACTTTAAAAATCACAACTATGACAATGGTAGGCACAGAGTAGGCCCTTACATTTGCAAACTAATGGTCCGACCCGGCACAGCCTATGAGAATTGCCTTTGAGGTGCACTCTGCTTTCCCACTGTAACGTGGAGCCGTGGGAACTGTCACGACTGATCTCCCTCGTCCTGCCCAAGGCAGAGGACAGCAGGGCTGTGGACATCGGGTTCCCTGATCAGTATCACCTCCATCTTCCACCAATCTGTTCATGTTTTTGTGCCATGAGCCACAGTCTCCATGAAGTTAAGGGTGTCACTGTTTTGGGCAACCCCCGATCCCCAGGGCTGAGCGTGGCGTCTTCAGTGGCAAGGCCCACTGAAAAACACCGTGAGTGGATGTGACAGAGAACAGGGGGATGACCTCTGGAATTGGACAGGCCTGTGCCTGAGTCTGGGCCCGCGACTTCCCAGGGGCACGCCATGCTACCCAGTGGTGCTGACACAACAGGGGGGTGGATCCTTTCAGTGCTGTCTGCCCTCTCTAGAAAGGGTAGAACAGACCTCACAGGGAAGCTGGCTCAAGTAGGAAGATCCCAGGTCCCCAGAACAAAGCAGCTTCTGGGGTTCCAACGCCTAACACAGCAGCCACTAGAAATGAGCCTGTGAAATGTGGCTAGTGTGACTGAGGAAAAGTCAATTTTATGTTTTAATTAATTTTACTTTAAGAACCGATATTCAACTTAGTTACTAGAAAACTTTTAAAAGGTGTGTTTGGAATGACCTGGGGTAGAACAATCTGCTCTTTCAAATGAAGATTTTATGAACTCTAAACAGAGATCAAGGATTCTGGATGAAAATTTGGCATTCAAATGGAGAGGAATGTCCCATAGCTGTAAATACACGTCAGATTTTAAAGAGAAATAATCTAAAATATCAACGGTTTTTCGTTTTTTACATTAAAGAGATGTTGAAATGACAATGTATTAGACAGACTGGGTAGGATATCAAAATTAATTTCACCTGCTTCCTTTTAATAAGTACCAGAGAACCCTAAAAATTAGACACGTGGCTGACAGTCTATTCTACTGCTCAGTGCTGCGCTCCATCCCAGCCAGTGGTATGTAAGGGCTCAGAAACCAGGACCCAGCCTTCATCCCCACGGCGGGCTTAAGCAATGCTCTGGGATGCCTCATAGCCCAGATTCTAGTTCACCACAATTAGGAAAAAGCAGTTTTGAAAAGTACTGCATTAATTACCAATGGTCAAACTCACTGGCTTTCCGGAAAGCTGTCCCCATTTTTAAATCTCACTGTACCTGATTCATGTCCTTGTTGGCACAAGGAAATGTAGCCAATCATCCCTGCATACATCACAATGCAAAATAGTGCGCAAGATGGTGGGGCCTCCCTGCCCCACAATCACAGGGCCAAAAGGTACTTCTAGAAAGGGCACGGGATTTGGTAAAGGCTTTAGACAGCGCACTGCCTTAGACGTTACCAGGAAGCGCACATAAAACGGCAGTCACCTTTGATCTGCTGCGGAACCAGCCCACTTCGGTGTTCAGCAAAACTCTCCTGGGTCAAAACTGCAACGGAGCTCATGGTGGGTCTCACACCTACACACAATCCAGGAAAACCACGAAAGCAAAGAAGAATAAATCAGAAGTCAAAGTACAACTCTCAATTATCTGAGACTGTTAACCTAGGAGTTTCGGCAAAAGTTTTATCCTCTTTTTTACCAGCAAACTATACCTTTTTTTAAATTTTCCTCACAAGCTCTGTCGTGTGCTAGTATCTAAACTCTCGCCAAGTGATAAGAGGGGGAAAAATGCAAGCAAAGGAGGTCTTACAACAGGGGTGGCCAATCTTCCGTCTTCCCTGGACTACAGCACAAGAATTATCTTGCGCCGCACATAAATTAATGATGGCTAACAAACTTAAAAAAAAAAAAAAAAAAAAAAAAAAAAATCTCACGTTTTAAGAAAGTTTACAAATTGGCGTTGGGCCGCGTTCAAAGCTGTCCTGGGCTGCGGGTTGGACAACCTTGTCCTAGAACTGCTGTCCCCTCCAGTCGCCAGTAATGGAGGAGCTCATCTTCCACTCAGGGGCAGTCTGCACCCATCTCTGCACCCCAGGGGCCACAGAGATACAGTCTGCATCACCCCTACCCTGATGGGGCGGGCGTGGGGGGCACCGGAACCTGCCACCTGTCTGAGCCAGGATCCAGGCACTGATCACCACCAGGAGCATTCTCCTAACAGCCACCTTGGTTATTCTGTCAATTTGCTCACCACACACCTCTTAATGCTCACAAAATGCATCAAGACAGTTGCTACAAAAGCCAGCCAGTCTCTGCAAGGTGCATCCAGGGCCCAAACTAAATCGCCTCCCAATCTCAACTTAACCAGGTGGTAGCTGTGTTGACAGGAAAAAGCAGCCTCAGTGCTTTGTAGCAACAGTAACAGACCCACAAATCGCGCTAAAAGCCCTTGATCCACACTGACTGGTTATTCTCCTCTTACAAAGCAAGGGGAACCTGGCCCCAGGGCACAGAGTTCCTCGGATCAGCAGAGCCACAGTACTCCACAGGACATGGCCTCTGAAAGCCACAGCTCCCTTATTTGAAAAATGGGGTACATTCAGCATTCTGAGGTAGGAGCGTTAGCTTCCTCTCCTTCCCTCTTCCTAGTTCCAGGTGAGCTCCAAACTACTATGGTGAGGAAGAACCCATTTTCTTCACACAATTATACATCAATTACTGGCACAAGGCCAAGTCATAAGGAATGAATTTTGTGTAATTTTTAAAACATAATTAAGGCCTCAAGTTCAAGAAAATTAAGGTCTGCAATCCTAAAGAGAAGACCCCAATTCAGGTAATACCTAATAAACATAATTCACATTTAAGGGAAAAAAAAAAAAAAAAAAAGATGAAAAACTGATGGAAGCCAGATGACACATCCAGAGGAGACATGTCTGCAGACAGTTCCTGCTGGGAGGAGAAGCTACAGAGACATCTCTGACGAACCACTAGAAACCTGAGGGTGCAGTGTAAAGAGAGAAGGCACAGGACCAAGAAAATACACACCTCGTGCTCCAGGTCTACACACAGCCCAGGGACAGAAGTCTTCAGGCAGGGTCCAACTTACCAGCAAAACGGTCAGTAGCCAGAAGGTCCGTCCTGAGGCCGCCTCTGTCAGCCTGCCAGCTTTTGCTGGTATGGGACAGGAAGCAGGAGAGCAGAGGAGGAAAAGGGAGAAATGTTACTTATCTTCAATTCACAACCCAGGCCTTTGTACCTCCAAGCAGAAAAGGTCAAGATGTTATTTATGCTTCAGTTACTAACACTAATACTCAGGCGAGTTTCTTGGAAAAAAATTAAGCCATTAGCTTGAAACAAAACATATTAGAGTAAAACCTGAATCAGCTCCAACTTTCAGAGGACAACTATTCCAGGGACCTGAGGGAGTGATCCTTTAAGCACCAAACTTCTAAATTTAACCATTTCGAAGTAAAATCCTCACAAAACGGATCTCACACGGTTGGATCATCTTTCCTGTACCCCACTTAACCCCAGACGGCTGAACCAGAGCGGGGGTTGCTGTGCTGGGCTCGGACCTACAACAGAACGCGGACCTGGGGGCTCCGCAGCGCTCACCACGACCGAGAGCTACTGTCTTCAAGAATTCTCTGAGTATTTCGCAGTTACTTTGTTCTTCCTGCTGTTATCCTGTAAAAGTCCTTCAGTCCTTTCTAATCCACTGGGATTTAGAAACCAGGTCATAAAATCGCAGGATTGAAAGGAACCTTCAAAGGCTGTCTGTGGAGGACCAAGAACTCTGTGAAGTAGGTGGGTGAGTCACCTCGCCTTGGGGGACTCTGGGCAGGGGAGGCCTGCGACCACATGTGCTCCTAACTATGAAAAGGTGGAACTGCTGACAGGAGCGAAGCATGTGTCTAAAATGGGAGAAGCAATGACAGTAACAGGGACACCCCACTCAACTGGAGAATACTACTAATACCCTGATGACAATCTTGCCCATAAGACACATGGGTCCGGGGCTGGGAAGGCAGTTCGTGGCAACAGGAGTGCATCAGGGAGACTGGACTAAATGGGTCTTGTCCTTCCAGCAGAGGGTGTGACTGGAGGTACTTCAGGGTCCTAATCCTGGTTATGATTTTCTTAAAAAACTCTAAATACAGGGCTTGAGTCACACAGGGAACCTGCCACAAACCAGAGACACTATGGGCCCAGACACACAGATGTACCCCAAGACTGAAGAGGGGAAAAGCTAGGAAAAACCGAACAAGAAAATTCCCTTTAAAAGCATCACCAAAACATTCTAGTTTGCAAGTTTCAAAGATGAAAGTGAGAAAACATCTCCGAAGTGTCAGAGTAGCACATTCGCAACTTGGCAGGTGGTCCCTGAGATTCCAAGTGTCTGGTTAGTCTGGGAGCAAACTGGGACAGGTCGCTGTAGGTTGAGGTGCTCCGCCAGGTGTCAGTGACACCTGCCTCTGGCCTCCTGCATCCGCCCTCTGCCCTCCCACTCTTGCCTGCTGACTCTCCACCTTGCGTGGTCTCTCACTCAAGGTTTTCCCAGGCTCCAATGACACTTCTTAAACCCAGACACCCACCCCCTTATCAAGCCAGGTTCTGAGCTCAGTGCCCAGTGACAGCCACCCGGTAAGTTTGCAAATCGCAGTTCCGTCCATGCCAGCTCGCACCTCGTACTGGCTCTCCAGCACAGAGCTGTGATGGGCCAATCCCCACTCTGCCCCAGTGTCAGTCTCTTCTGAGGCCACTCACACACCCTTGAGACACCACGTCCAGCCAGAACCCAGACTGACAGGAGTGTCAACATAAGGGAACCTACTCCTGTGTCCAAGGGAGGCCCTGGAGCAGAGCCTCTCGTTTTCCTCAGGCGTGCACAGACCCTCAGGCAGCCAGGAAAGGCAGAAGGCAGACCTCCGGAAGACTCCAGACTGGTCCAACAGGCTATACTGGGTTCCTGGCCTCCAGACTGCAGATGGCAGTTTGTCAGAGCTTACAGCGAATGGTTCACAACTAGACACATTTAGCATCTAGAGTTCCGGTATCATCAAAGAGCATTTTGTCTTTCTTCCAAATAACTCAAAAACCTGTTCTTGAAGAATGCATTTAAGCATCTGATGATCCACATGTAAATGCAGACCGTGTCCCCTCCATCTGAAATTCTGGGTGAGATTTTCTTAAAGGTCAGCCTCATTCTCCTTCTGTGCTCCCAACCCAGTGAGGCGCAGCCCAGGGGTCCAACTGCCTCTGGTTCCACAAAGCGGCCACTAAGAAGCTGCCCCCAGAGCTCCATGTCCACCCCGCACTGCTATGCCCTGCTCCTGGCTCTGCCTTCACAGACAACACTCACGAGGTTTAATCCTGTTCCACGTGGATCTTTCAGCAACCCCAGGAAAACGTCAGGCTGAGTGTGTTCTCCACCTAGCTCTTCCACTTGGTATCTGAAGTCCCCAGGAGACCCTGGGCAGGCCCAGTCACCAAAGAACAGGGGCTAAACATCTGGTATCTCAGATTCTCACTGGATCTAACAGTATTGCTCAAATTAGGATTGAAAGGAACCTTTGATATTACTCTAATCCAATTTCTTAACACCACCAGGGACAGGAAATTCGTGGCCTTCTCAGGGAGCCCAGTCTCACCCCTGCATGGCTGTGAACGCTCTGCCTCAAGTTATGACAAAATCTACAACTTCTTTCCCCTTTTGGGTCATGGAGAACAAGTCCGCTCTTCTCCAAGGCTCCTTCTGGTGGGTGAATGAACTCTGTCCCCCGTCTACTGCAGTCCCTCCCACATGGCCCCTGTCCCTTCTGATTCTGGTTGCTCTCAACTACTTTTCCCATTGGAAGCTCCAGGTCCACCTCTAACTATACTGAACCTGGACTTTAAATTTTGTTTTCCAGAGTATAAATGTCTACAGCAAAAAAAGGTCCTATCTCAGAATTTAACTTTCAGCAAACAGAACTAGAACTAAAGGAAGAAGGGCAGGAAATAAGACCCCTTTCCACCCTAATATGTATGGAGCAAAATGTGAATTTGGGACAGAGCTGTGTGTTCTGTGGGAACCTGGTGCTTACAAGTTTAGCACAAGTTCAACAGGTTTCTGACAGCAACAGGGGAGACTTTACATGAGGGGCTCCACTTTTTTGCTTTTAAACAAGGAAGTTGATTCCCTTGCGATAAGTTTTGCCAACTACATATTCGATGGGCAACAATCTTCGAAGAGAACTATCAGTAAAACTCTAGGAAGAATTTCATTTCAGCCTCAGCTAATGAGACCCGCGAGTGCTTTACACACCAGACAGGACTGGGTATGGAGGGCGTCAGAAGACCGCCCGCTGAAGTCCAGACTTCTCCTCTTCCAAAAGCAAAACTGCTCAAGACTGCAAACCAAAGTTCAGAATGGGAAAATAAAATCCCGATCCACTCAAAGATCACAGGGCCAAAATCTAGGAGAGGCCGCAGGCTGCTGACGAGCAGAAGGCAGGCTCCGCACTTCTCACCAAGTTCTGGAAGTCGGCACCCATCCTGCATGGAGGAACTTTCGCAGATGCCACCTCAGCACGGCCCTCCCACAGGCCACGAGGGCCCGCGGGCGGGGACAGGCTTAAAGGGACAGCAACCCCCTCGGCCGCCCAGCCTTTCATCCAAATTCGGTATTTTTCCGTAATGTATTTTTCATCCACGACCCTGGGGCACGTCCAAACTGCACTCCAGGCCGGAGGAGAGCGGCTCTCCCCACCCCCGACCACGTAGACGGGCATGGGCACCGCGCGGCAGGTGGAGGTGCTGCGGAGCCCCCGTCGCCCAGCCTGCGCCCAGACCCGAGCCCCGCCACCACCTGGGGGGAAGGACACCACCGGCCTCGCAGGGACCCCTGCCCGGGCCGCACAAGGCGCCCCCCCGCTGGCCGGGGCAGCCCGAGCTGGGGGAGGGGGCGCCCCCGCGGGGAGCGGGGGAGGGGAGGGCCGGCCCGCCAACGTCAGCGACCTGGGCGCAGGTCGGCCGCCCCTCCCCCGCCGCGCGGCCAAGGCCCGGGGGCGCCTCGCTGAAGCCCCGGAGGCGGCGGGCAGCCAGGAGCGGCCCGGCGGGACTTGGGAAAGTTTGTGCGCGCCCCTCCGCGCCGCGGTCACGCGCAGAGGGGACTCGGAGCCGGCCCCGGGCCCGGCCTGGAGCCGCCACGCGCGGAGAGCACGACGCCCGTGGGCGGGGGCCGCGGCACCCAGTCCCTCCCCCTCGCGGCCTCCACGTCGGCAGCCCCCGTGCCCTCCCTCCCCGCCCACCCGCGCAGGCCTCCCCAGCCCGGCCACAAGCTCACGCGTGGGTCCCCGCCCGCTGGTCCTGCCGCTCGCTCGCTCGCCCGCCGCGCGGGAGAAGCCGGGACGCTCCGAGGCGCGGCGCCCGGGCCCCGGCTGCTATATAGGGCGGCGGCCCAATCCCGCCCGGACACGTCAGCGCCCCGCCTGCCCCGCCGCCGGGGTCCCCCGCTGTCCCGGGCCGCCCAGCACCCGGGAGGCCCACCCAACTCCAGGCGTGGTTCCGCATCCTTTTTTCGGGTGGAGAAGGCGGTGCCGAGGAGTTGGGAGATTAATCCCCTCTAGAGAGCAGAGGGAGTGCGCCCCGCAAGAGCCCCAGCGTGGAACGACCGGAGACCAGAAAGGGAGCAGGAGGCCGGCTGCTCTGCAAGCAGATGTCACCAGCACCGCCCGCCTCCCCAAAGCCACAGAAGAAAAACCTCGAAGGACGCCCCCGACTCGTCAGCGGACGGCCCCACCGGCCCGAGGTCCGACAGCGCGGTGAGGCTCCCAGGCGGCGCCGGGAGTTCCATCCCTCGTCCTCGCGTCTGTTCCTTATGCCCCTCACTTTTATAAACTATCCCCACTCGATTCCTTGGCGTAATCTTCCCCTAAAGTATAAAACCCCCTTCCTTTCAAGCATGCATTACTTATGGCCCCATCTATAACGTAGGTGCCTACATGCGAAAGAACCGGTGTGTGGCCTCCGCGCCCACGGTGGGCCTGGGCCCGCAGGACTGAGCGGAAGGGAATCCCTACTCTCAGGGGTCTCCACCCTCCGGGAAGGACTTTTCACTTCTGCATCCACTGTGTTTCCTTAGTGATAACTACCACTGTTTCAAGGGTATAAGGTGAGTTGATGAATCT